CAACCCCATGCTCTGGGTGTCCCTAAGCCTCTGACTGCCAGAAGCTGGGAATGGGCATCAGGGGATGGATCACTCAGTAATTGCCATGTTCTGTTCATTCCCTCTGCAGCACCTGGCACTGGTCACTGTCAGAGACAGATGGCCCATTGGTCTGGCCCTGTATGGCAGTTCTTATGTTCTAACTGGAGGCTCAGGGAGGTAACAGAACAACGGAGCTTTGACCTGCCGGCTTGTAGCACGTGTTTCTGTCCATCTCTGTGTCCATCAGTCCTTCCCTCCCTCTGTCTGTGGAACTCCCTGCCACTGGATGCAGTTGGGGCCAGGAGGGCAGCAGGATTCCAGACACTGGCCTGGATAATGGGAGCAGCCCCTCCCTCTTCCCGGGCCATGAGTCCTGGGTTCAGGTTATCTCACAATTGCCTGCCAGGGGGTTTCTCCCTCAGCTGCAGGTGGTGTCCACTGTGGGAGATGGGACGCCAAGCTAGATGGGCCTGTGGTGGGACATTAATTCCTGTGCTCCCTGCCAGTCCATTGCAGGTTTCAGTGGCTGCACTGGCATGGCCGATCCCCAGTGTGGACCTCAGCTCCAAAGAGATGTCTTGGTGGGCTGTGCCGCTCCTCCCTTCCCATTGGTGGCCTCATGGTCACGCCTCCCCTCCCATTGGTGGCCTCATGGCACGCCTTCCCTCCGATTGATAATCCACTTCACACCCCAGAGTTGTAACCCAGCGACCAGGCATGTGCCACGCCCCCCTCTTCTACTGGACGATCTATATAACAACCTGCTTCTGCTGCCAGTTGTGGAGCGACTCCCTTAGCTGAAGTGGCAGAGGGCCGTGTTGTGGTCCCCGAATCCGAAGCCTGCTGATGACTCGGAGGGGGAGAGGGGGTCATTATGCTAACCTGGAATAGTAATGAGGAAATTGTTTAATGAGTAGCTGGGATGATGGGTGATTAGTTGGCACCATGGGAGCAGCCCATTCTGCATGGACCATCAGATCTGGGAGCTGCTGGTCCAGGCTAGAGGGGAGGAGGCCCCAGGCAGATTGGGGGACAATGGCTTTAGCTGTGCTGTGCGACTGACGGGCCTCGTTAACGAGGAGAGCACCAGGCCAGCCACTCTGGGACTTCCTCTTGTCCTAGGCCTCAAAGCTCAGCAGGGCCAAGCCCTGGGACAGTGCTAGCCAATTGGCTTGCGCGGCCAGAGGCTGCGTCCTGATTGGGTCCCCAGCAGCCAATACTAGAGTTATGTGAAGTCGAGTAGCCAAATATACAGATCTCTGCATCCTGATTGGCTCATCAGATGTCTCCTATAAAAATACACACATACAATGTATGCACAATATATCACACTCAACACACATGCACTCAATACACATGTATGCTGTCACATGCAATATACACTCAATACACACACACACATGCAATACACACATATCCACTCCCATGCAATATACACTCAATACACACAATACACTCACATGCAATGCACACTCAATACACGCACACACTCAGTACACATACATACAATATGCACAATACACACATATCCACTCCCATGCAATATACACTCAATACACACAATACACTCACATGCAATGCACACTCAATACACGCACACACTCAATACACATACACACAATATGCACAATACACACATATCCACTCCCATGCAATATACACTCAGTACACACAATACTCTCACGCAATGTATACTCAATACACATACACACATGCAATACACACGTATACAACCACATGCAATATACATTCACTACACAAGTATAATTGCATGCAATATACACTCAATACACAATACAATCACATGCAATATACTCGCAATACACACACAATACGCACACACTCAATACACACATATACGACCACATGCAATACATACAAACACACTCAATACACATGCACACTCAACACACACACACACACACTCAATACATATGCGCACCCATGCACTGAAGACACACATACAGTATCCACACGGGCTGTAATTTCCCTATGGGATTTCAGTGGCCAGTTCTTGGCACCGTTAACCTTGAGCGAGGAGAGTAACCTCACGACAGCGAGCAGGAATCGAAAACTCAAATCCCTAAGCCGCTTTGCAGGCCTTGATCGCTGGCTGCCATGATGCCTGTGGCCCCCTGCAGGTGGATGGATTGCGCTCTGTGTTATCAGTGACAGAGGCAGATCGGGAGCTAATGGCTGTAGCAGACGTGAGGGAAGTTCACACCAGAAATACAGGGCACACTTTACCCAGGCAGGGGAATTCACTTGTGTAACTGCAGACCCAGGGACAAGGGGATTTCTCCGTCGCTTGGAGGTCGGGGGTCTCTTTCTAAAATCTCTGCTCTAGCTCGACCACCAGATCTGGGCTCAGTGTAGGAATCACTGGGTGGATTCTATGGCCTGCATAATGCAAGAGATCGGATGAGATTATCCAAATTAGTGGTTCTCAACCAGGGGTACACGTCCCCCTGGGGGTACGCAGAGGTCTTCCAGGGGGTACATCAACTCATATTTGCCTCGTTTTACAACAGGCTACATAAAAAACACGAGCGAAGTCAGTACCAACTAAAATGTCAGACAGACAATGGCTGGTTTATACCGCTCTATGGACTGTACACTGAAATGTAAGGACAATATTACTATTCCAATCCATTTATTTTATAATTAGATGGGGAAAATGAGAAAGGAAGCAATTGGTCAGTTCTAGTGTGGCTGTGACACTTTGGGATTTTTATGTTCTGATTTTGTAAGCAAGTTGTTTTTAAGTAACTCGGGGGTACACCGGACAAATCCGACTCCTGAGAGGGGCACAGTAGTCTGGAAAGGCTGAGAGCCACTGATCGAATAGTCCCTTCTGGCCTCCGAACCTATAGTGACACCCCCAATATCCATGTGCGTCATTTATACCCACTTGCTGCTGTGGTGAGAGTACATCTGCGCGAGTATTACACATCTCGTCACGCGCACGTGCGTTGCACACGCAACCTACCAGAGGGTGGTGCAAAGCAGAGAGTCATTTGCACGTGGCCCCTTGGTCATTCGCCCCCGCACCAGCTGCCTCAGATCTGCAGCTATTTCAGAGAGCAACATTCTGGGTGGGGGAGAAAAGCCACCATGGAGCCGCTCCAGCTGAAATGTTCACGAGCACAATGGAGAGGCAGGGACTGTGTCCAGCGCTGTTCCAGACAGAGGAGTTCCCACTGGAGCAGGTGCAGAGCAGGGCCACTAGGCCGATCGGGGGACTGGCGAGCTGATCTCGCGAGAGAAGACTGAAAGAGCTGGGCTTGTTTAGCCTACAACGCAGGCCGAGAGGGGATCCGATTGCCAGGGCCGGCTCCGGGAACCAGCGTACCAAGCAGGTGCTTGGGGCGGCCACTTCGGAGAGGGGCGGCACGTCCAGCTGTTCGGCGGCAATTCAGTGGTCGATCCCTCACTCCTGCTCCGAGCGAAGGACCTCCCGCCGAATTGCCACCGCAGATCGCGATCGCGGCTTTTTTGTTTGTTTGGCTGCTTGGGGCGGCCAAAACTCTGGAGCCGATTGCTCTCTAGAACAGGGGTCGGCAACCTTTCAGAAGTGGTGTGCCGAGTCTTCATTTATTCACTTCAATTTAAGGTTTCGCGTGCCAGTCATACATTTGAACGTTTTTAGAAGGTTTCTTTCTATAAGTCTATAATATAGAACTAAACTATTGTTGTGTGTAAAGTAAATAAGGTTTTTAAAATGTGTAAGAAGCTTCATTTAAAATTAAATTAAAATGCAGAGCCCCCCGGACCGGTGGCCAGGACCCGGGCAGTGTGAGTGTCACTGAAAATCAGCTCGCGTGCCGCCTTCGGCACCCGAGGTTGCTTACCCCTGCTCTAGAAACATATTGGAGTGGGAGCGGCTCATCCAGTCCTGTGTCCTAAGTTCCGAGGTAGTTTAGCTTTTTACTAGATGCTGACTTTATTTGATTCCCCCACGCCCAGCCCCCCACATCAGGTGAGAATTCTTCACTCTGCATCCTTCGTTAATGAGCCGTGTTGCTGGTGGGGAGGCTGGGCTGGCGTGTGCCCAGAGGCTGGGGTGATGGGCATAAAGGAAGGAACTGAGTTGCCGCTAAGGTTTCCGGGATGCGGGTAGCAATACAGACCCTGACCTCGTGCTTGAGTGGGGCATCACGGCTCATGCCCTGCCCCCAAAGTAACTATCCTGTGTGGCGTCAGCGGATCTCGCTGTTTTCCCCCATCCCAGAGAAGACAATATCAGCATGGGTGCATAGCGCTTATTGAGGCAGTGTGAGCTAGTGGGTAGAGCACAGGACTGGTATGCAAGAAACCTGGCTTCTCCTCCCTGCTGGGAGACCTTAGGGAAGTCACTTCCCTTCGCCATGCCTCAGTTTCCCCATCTGTACTATGGGGACAATGATGCTGCCCTCCTTTGTAAAGCGTTTTGAGCTCTACTGAAGAAAGAGCTAGTTATCATTAGTCTATAGCTGGGAGCATGCCCCCGCCCCACCTTCCCAATGAGTCGACAGCAGCATCTCTCTTTGTGATGTGTTTGTACAGCACCGGGCCCAAATGCAACATGCTGGTTAAGTGCATGGGTGGGCTTGTCTCCCACTAGTGGCCAGGTACCGCAACTGCAACCGCTTACGGCCAGTCCCTTCCTGGGCCTCAGTTTCCACTGCTGTGAAATGGGGGCAATGGAACTGGAGAGTATTTTGAAACTGACAGATGAAAAGCCTGGTTAAGAGCTAAGCACTGCTGGCGTTATTACTCCAGCACTCCCCAGTAATGGCCTGATACGCTACAGGGTGAGGTCAGATGCTGCAGTACCCTTCCAGGGAATAGTCCGTGGGCAGGTTTGGAAAAGTGGGGGGCCTCCAGAGGAGGTGTCTAGCCCCACAGAGCTCTGGTTGGGGGCTGATCCCCCCCCCCCCCGCCGCCCCATCCTGGCACGGCATTGCTAATGGGTCTCTTCTCTCCTCTCTCTCTTCCAGAAGAGGGCGAATATTTCCTCAAGGTCCTGATCCCCAGCTATGCGGCCGGCTCCATCATCGGGAAAGGAGGACAGACCATTGTCCAGCTGCAGAAAGAGACGGGCGCCACCATCAAGCTCTCCAAGTCTAAGGACTTCTACCCAGGTGAGGAGGGCCAGGGGCTTCCGTGAATCCTGCAGATCACGGGTTTGATAACTGAGGTGTGGGGCAGGAGGCTGGGACCTTCTCCCCCCAGTGATATTCTCCTGCTGTGGCGGCTGGACAGGAGAGGATCAGGTTTGCCTTGATGGCTGGGCTCCGGACCCCTGTGATCCGTCCTGGGGAGGTGGGCAAAGGGCGCTAGCTGGGGTAGATTTATGTCAACTACACCGGGGCGGCTTCCCCCTCTCAGACAGCGTGGCCGTTGGGTATGTGAGCAGGGGATGGCGAAGGGGAGCAGGGCGCTGGCCCTGCGGAGGCCGGTTACTGAGCAGGGGGAAGGGAAAGTAGCCATTGGAATGACTGATCCAGAGATGGGAGTGGATTTTCCATCACTTGAAGTCTTTACGCTGAGATTGGACGGCTCTGCTCTAGCTCGACCATCAGATCTGGGCTGGATGTGGGAACGACCGGGGGGATTCTCTGGCCTGCGCGATGCAGGTGGCAGGATTGGTCCCTTCTGGCCTTACCATCTCCGACTCTCTGACCATTCAGCACCGGGCTGGCAGCCAGGCCGCGTCGCTGCCCTGGGGGAAAGGGCCCCCCTGCCTGGCGTTCCCCAGTGCATCCCATTGCCACGAGCCGAGCTCCCTCATGCTCTGGGCAGTGGGATCCTGGCTTGCATGTGGCAGGGCATGTGGGATCCCTCTGTGTGTGTGTGTGTGGAGGGCCCTCCCATACTATGGGGAGGGGGCCTCAGAAGTGGAGGGTGGAGAGTACTGCAGCAGGTGGGAACCCAGGCCCCGCCCACTCACAAGGCTGAAGGGAGACACCCCTTCAACCCAGATCCCTGTGAAAACTGCCTCCGTCTCCGACCCCCCAGGATAGTTACTGTGGGGAGTGGCTCCACCCCCTCTTTCCTCCATGGCAGGACTGAGACCCACCGGTGGGGGCGGGGAGGTTAGCCCTGCCTCATCCCCCCCGTGAGGTACACGGAGGCTGTCGGACAAGGGGACGGGAGCGAACTGGACCTCCCATCCCCCCAGGCCAGCGCAGGACCACAGCCCCCCAGCCAGGCCATATTCGGGTCAACCCCCTTGGGGGTACTAGGCCACATCCCCCATAACTGAACTGGGGTAGGCAAACTCCTCCAGAACTAGGACTCCTGGCTTGGGAGGGGAGTGGTCTCTAGTTGTGGGCAAAAGGGCTAACACCATCCTGGGCTGCAGGAACAGGGGAATCTGGGGAGGAGCAGGGAGGTGATTTTCCCTCTGGATTTGACCCAGGTGCGACCGTGGCTGGGATCCTGGTCCAGAAGGATGTTGATAAGTTGCCGAGAAGAGCCCCGAGAACAACTGAAGGGTTAGAAAATCTGCCTTAGAGCGAGAGATTCCAGGAACTCAGTATTTTTAGCTTGACAGAGAAGGGTCAGGGGGGACTTGGTCCCCGTCTATCAGTGCCGACATGGGGAACAAGGATCTAATAATGGCTCTTCAATCTCGCGAAGGTTGAACACGAGCCAATGGCTGGGAGTTGAAGCCGGACAAATTTAGACCGGAAATAAGGCGTAGGGAGGGCGATTAACCCTTGGGACAATTGACCGAGGGTCCTGGTGGCTTCTCCATCCCTGGAAATGTTTAAAGCAGGATTGGCTCTGCGGTAAAGATCGGCTGTAGTTCAAACAGGTGTTGTTTCTGGGCAGGGTTCTGGCCTGTGTTATCCAAGATGTCAGACTAGATGATCACAGCGGTTCCTTCTGGTCTTGGAATCTATGAATCTGTGAGGGGAGTGGTGTGTAGTGGTTAGAGTGGGTAGACTCCTGGGTTCTGGTCCCAGCTCTGGGTTGGGAGTCGGGTAGATTAACACACTTTGTTGGGGAAGAGTCACCATGGTTTTTGTAAAGGGAAATCATGCCTCACCAGTCTATTAGAATTCTTTGAGGGGGTCAACAAGGGGGATCCAGTGGATATAGTGTACTTAGATTTTCAGAAAGCCTTTGACAAGGTGTAACGGACTTACAGATCGTGCCCACACACAAGGTCCCTCACCAAAGGCTCTTAAGCAAAGTAAGCTGTCGTGGGATAAGAGGGAAGGTGCTCTCATAGATCAGTAACTGGTTAAAAGACAGAAAACAAAGGGTAGGAATAAATGGTCAGTTTTCAAAACGGAGAGAGGTAAATAGTGGTGTCCCCCAGGGGTCTGTACTTGGACCAGTCCTATTCAACATATTCATAAATGATCTGGAAAAAGGGATGAACAGTGAGGTGGCAAAATTTGCGGACGATACAAAACTACTCAAGATAGTTAAGTCCAACGCAGACTGAGATTTTAAAAAATGACAAAATCCAAACAAACAAAAAAACAGGTTTAAAACAAACAAAAGGAAGTATTTCTTCCCACAGTGCACAGTCAACCTGTGGAACTCTTTGCCAGAGGATGTTGTGAAGGCCAAGACTATAACAAGGTTCAAAAAAGAACTAGATAAGTTCCTGAAGGATAGGTCCATCAATGGCTATTAGCCAGGATGGGCAGGGATGGTGTCCCTAGCTTCTGTTTGCCAGAAGTTGGGAATGGGCGACAGAGGATGGATCAGTTGATGATCACCTGTTCTGTTCATTCCCGCTGGGGCATCTGGCATTGGCCACTGTCGTAAGACAGGACACTGGGCTAGATGGACCTTTGGTCTGACCCAGTATGGCCTTTCTTATGGAGTGTAGTAGTTTCAGCGGCGGTGTGGGAAGTCAGGACTCCTGGGTTCTGTTTCTGGCTCTGGGAGACAGGTGGAGTGTACCGATTTCTGCGGGGGGGTCTAGGAGCCAGGACTCCTGGGTTCTGTTCTGCAGCACTTAGCCACGGCCCCCTGGGAAATGCACTGTGCCAGCCCCGCTAGGTTTCATTTTCAGGTCAAACATGGAAGATTAGCAGGTGGTGCTGGGTGGTGGGGAGGAAGCCGGCAGCCCCGGCCCAGCCATAATCTGTGCCCTGATTGCGGGGCACACAAAGCCGGGCCATCCCAGCTAAGCTGATTTTCTATGCATCTCCTGCTCTCGATTGGGGGATTATTGGGCAGCAAATCTCCAGGGATGGGGAGATGTTGCCAAGGGGCTGGAGAGGGGAGGGGGCAGCTTTTCACTTGGTAATTGCCCCAGGAGAAAAGGGGTTGTTCCAATCCCTCGGGAAAGGGGGAGGCACCATCCCCCACCACCATGATGCACAGGGAGGGGAAGTCTGGGGTCTGGTCCTGGGGAGGTTCCTAACCCTGAGGGTATGAAGGGCTTGATCAGGACTGCGTATAGGAGGCTGGGGGTCCTGGGACTGTGAGAAGGCAGCCTAGTGGTTAGAGCAGGGGGGCTGGGAGTCAGGACTCCTGGGTTCTATCCCTGGCTTTGTGAGGGGAGTGGGGTCTAGTGGTTAGAACGGGGGGGCCAGGAGCCAGGACTCCGTGGGTCCTGTCCCCAGCTCTGGGAGGGGAGTGGGGTCTAGTGGTTAGAGCAGGGGGGCTGGGAGCCAGGACTCCTGGGTTCTATCCCTGGCTCTGGGAGGGGAGTAAGGTCTAGTGGTTAGAACGGGGTGGGGTGGGAGCCAGGACTCTTGGGTTCTCTCCCCAGCTCAGGGAGGGGAGTGTGGTCTAGTGGTTAGAGCAGGGGGGTTGGAAGCCAGGACTCCTGGGTTCTATCCCCAACTCTGAGAGGGGAGTGGGGTCTAGCAGTTAATGCAGCAGGGACTGGGAGTAGGGTTGCCACATCTCAGGTACATGTAGGATGGTCCTGAGCCAGGACAGCTGTCCATATGCACTGAGGACCCTGACAGATTTCCCAGGACAGCTAGCTCAACAAAGCGATGAGCCTGGGAAAAGCTGGATGGGTGACAACCCTGAGTGGGTGCCAGGACTCCTGGGTTCTATCCCTGGCTCTGGGAGGGGAGAAGTAGTCTAGTGGTTAGGGCAGGGGGCTGGGTCTATTCTCCCCCAGTTAGCAATGGCTTCACGGGAGTCACCTCTAGACATTCCAGCTCTCCCGAATTGACACGAGTGAGGTTTAACTTTAGTTAAACATCGCTGTCAGCCCCAGGCCAGGGGCTCCGCTGGCCCTTGCGGGTCCCAAAATCTTCCTCTGCATCCCCCCCGTCGTGAGAGAGGGCTTCCGGCAGGAGCAAAGCAGGATGGGAGGCAATAGTAGGGCCACAAAAGGTTGGGGGCATTCATTGATTTTGTGCAGCTCCATGCGTAATGTTCCTCATCAGTGAGCGAGTCTTTAACGGTCCATGCGGTTGTTCCCCCTCCCCTCCAAACAGGGGCAGGGGACCATTTAGGGGAGACGAGTGACTTTTTCACGCTGGTGCAAAGTGTCCTGCATGGGAACAAGTGATTGCCCCGTGGCGTGGGCGGGCAAGTACCCACGGGCCCTGCTCCGGAGTGGCTCTTTGCAGGATTGGGAGAGCTCCTGCCGCAGGACCCCAGCTCCTCTTCCTTCCCGTACAGATGCAAGAGGAGGCAACTCTGGGCTAGTCCCGCACGCACTGGGTGGAGGCAGGGGGAAAAGCAAATCTTTTGGAAGGATCTCCTGATTTGTAAGCCAGTCTGGCGATTTTCGGGGTCTGACTGGTGCCGTTGGGGTTAGCAGTGCTGCTTATCCGTGCCCGTTTCTTCAGTTGTTGGCTGAACGCCCGGCCGGGCCTGCCCAGGATACCTGCGGGGGCTGGGGGGGGGGAGGGGGCAGTTCCAGGCCACAGGAAGGCTCATGGAGAGGGATGGCAGGGTCCCCCTGGCTGCTCCCAGGGAGGGGAGGGAGAGATCCCCTAACCTGCGGGCAGGGGCTGGTGTGGCTGATCCCAGGGGCCTGGAGATGGAGGAGGGAGCCACATGGACACCACAGCGGCTCTCTGCAGGCAGCAGGGCCCTGGGTGCCTCCCCAGCTGCAGTGCGAGGGGAGGAAGCAGGAAACTGGGCAGGGCTGGGCCAGGCTGGGAGGGAAACGGCTTCAATGGCAGGAAATGCTCCCCTTGAT